TGCGTATATTGTTACGACTAATCGCAAACATTGACCATATACATACAGATAGAATGGCAGATAAATCACCATTTGGGACGTTTTCTGTCTGTAATATGGATAAATTTGCTAGCTTATTGCGAGCATCAAAGGTTTCGTTGGAAGAATTGAGGACATTATGTTATTTCATGTATTGTTACATAGGTAATTTCAAGTTAATGACTGGCCGAGGAAAATCTGGCACTTTTTGATTAACCTTTGTTCTGGGCACCTATTGTCGACACACAGTACAATGGACTATTGGAATGTGACTTTCAGCCTAAAGTTCTAGTTTAAAATTCGTCATATTTACCAGATGTGTACAAGTAACGACAAGGAATTCTACCTATACGTTACATTTGTTTTGAAATGAGTTCAGTAATGTCAAATTACGGTTGTAGCTGTATCTAACTACTTTCAACTTAATCAGATATTTTGATTGAAGCCACATAGCGGAAAAACTGTGATAAAGTATCCGTGGTTTGTTAGCCTAGCTATTGTTCAGATTTAAGTATATTGGAAAATGGAATTCATTGTGTAGCTTTGTGTATATAAAGTTAGTTACACCTCGATTGACTGAAGTCCGTTATGAGTCGAAGGAAATCATGGATACTGAAAGAAAATCAGATGGATTTGTTGTGATGATAATGGATATTATTTTGACATTTGTGTTGTGTGATTAGTTCTATTATGGACAAAATTCTGAAAGAATTGCTGATACAACACCATCTAAAAAATCACTCTACGGTAGTTTGTCGTGAGGATTCCACAGTAGCTGGGAAAATATGTAGCTTCTCAATCCGTTATCACCCTACAGGGATCAATTATTGGAATCCCTGCATATCTACAGGATAGCTATGATTTAAAAAACAGAAATCTGAAGATTTGTTCCAGAAAGTGAGGGGATCTTCGGGATTGATATGACAGCTTCAAAGTTAACGTCTTAACGTGATAAATTTGGGCTAGAACCCTATGTCAAGAAGTCTGGGTTCAAGGCTGGCTATAACTACGCGGGTGAAAGTCAATTACAGAAATCCTGGGGACGAGGATCGATGCAATAGGACGTGATACCCGGATGGATATGCACGCAGAATCTGCAGATACGACTTAATTAAAAAGATAAAATCACTTCAGTATTGATCTCGACGTATAGATCAATACCGGTTTATCAAAAATTACTGTAAATATTACTGGATTGATGCCTTAGGGAAGTATTTTAGCCAATCCACTTGAACTCTTGTTTTATGTTTCCTGAGCTGTTGTTGGTTGTGTTTACACAAGAGAAGGTTGTAGAGAGCCAATGCGGCTCCACCACCAAGGAGTAATAGGTGTATGTACTACATCCGATGGCTAACAATGGGGAACTAACACGTTCGTCTTATCTCGAATCAATACACGTCGCGAGAACAGGGTACTTTACTTAGCCGAAGTATTTGCCATCTTATCAAACACTTGTTAGCTGGTGCAATTTTTGAAGATTTAAATTCTTTCAAGACATTGGTTCGCTTACAGGCATTAAGATATACTTATGAGATTGGATAAGTTAAATGATCTGTTTTAGCGAGTATTACTCTCATCGACACTTTTTCCGCCTCAGATGGTATTCAGTACCTTAAGAGAACGAACACATTCTCGACGTCTCGCCCGTTGCTTTTGTTTTCTGTTTCTTAATATTTTCTTTATTTAACTTTGCATCAGCAGAGATACTGTACAAAGTACTACAAACTTAGGAGCTATATATTATGATGGACAGATACACCACTTAACCTGTGTTTGATAAAGACTCCAGTGAGGACGAACATATAGGGTGCGGACTGTATATATAAGAGATCGAACGTTTAGTATTGACATACCGTTATGAAGTATGTATTTATTCTACTGTGAATGTGGTCTTTGAATCCGATCTGGTTGGCGAGATATACGCTGTCCAGTTTAAGGACATTTAATCATTGGTCAATCTTTTCCTTCGGATTGTTTGCGTTGTAAATGGGACGATATGGGATCCATGTATATGTCCGAACACATCCTTGACCGGAACTTACTGACTACAGCATACAAGGATTTCTGGTGCTCGAATGACGAAATTGACGGGTTTGTATCTTGATCACGTCATTTTTTCACGTTCAGGATAATATTTTTTAACACTTTCAATGCATAAAAAATCAGTTTGCATTTTTTTATTAGTTTGTTTGGATTTTCTATTTGTTATTTCTCCATAGGGATATGTTTTGAACTTTGACATTGATATATTTTATAGATCTAGAATTTGTATGTCGTGTCTTAGAATATATTTGTAGTGTGAGTAAAGGTATGTACATGTAAGTTTCGGGATATGTCTTTCAGTATGGCATATATTTGGCTATCACAGTAACATGGATGATTTAATAAACAAAGAAAGAAATAAAGAAATGACTCTAAAGATGTAAGTCTCTTAACGTAATAGAGTTGGATTACATTTTTTCCTATAGGAAAATCTCCTCGGTGAAAAGTTATTAGACATCCCAATTCTGCAGCTTGTGACCACCTCTTTATAACATGTATTTGTCTATGTCACTAGTTTCAGTCCAATATTTAAATAAGAGTATGTAAAACTTCCCCGAAAAAATGTTTTTGTGCTAATATTCTTTCAGCCATTTCAGTCCTTGTTGATACATCCGCTCAACCTTGCTGATATATCGGAAAATTATTTTTATTGCGGAAGGTCAGTGTATGCAATAATTGTACTTAAAATCAGCTTCTTTGACCCCGTATTCCTTTATCAGGGGCATTCATCTACACCCTATGTTTGAAAATACTACTTAAAGAAGTAATTATAAATGTTACATATCTCTGTAAATTTTTGCTTTTCAATTAGAAAACGGATCACCAAAAACAGTTCGTTAGAATATCATCTCGTGCACTACGTACGTCAGTGCCTAGTACGATCCACACTTGTCATTTGTCTGATGAAGGTGACCGCGTAGTCATCGAAACGTCACACTCTAATCTTCTACTGTTGTGTTATGAGATGAAGGTGACCGCGTAGTCATCGAAACGTCACACTCTATCCTCTACTGGTTGTGTTATATGAACTTCAATTCTATTGACATTACCAACCTTAAGAAATGTTCCAAAGTAAAACAGTTCGCTATACAACTTGACTATTTGTTTGGAAAATGTAAATGACATATAATGGACAGTCATAGTATGAAGCTTAGATATTACTATGTCTGGGTTTGTTTTTTTATCCAAATCTCGCTGGATTCATTTAACCTCAAAACTGATTTGACAAACAATTACTACCACCACATGTGTCTTTTTAACAGATGTTCTCTATCCAATATGTTCTTACAACATCGGTTTTTGTTCTCTCTGTACATTCATCTTACAAACTTATATGGGAGCCTTAAGTTGCATTTCCGTCCAACGGAATTTACGACCAATAAACTGTTTATGATAGATGGTCATTAATCGTAGTGAGCATTACCTGTTCATCCGTTCAAAATATTTTACATTGATTCGTATGTTTCAGAGACAACGATCTCAATTTTCGTCTGAGCTCGGGATTATAGAAAGAAAACATTTAAACGTACTTAAATCTGGACAGATTTTACGCATGAAACTTGATACATTATGCTTTATTCGTCTAATTTGCTAAATGCCTGTCTGTTTAAATCACAATTGAATGTGTTTTTCTGCTTTTCATTTATATATCCCACGAATTCCAGAGAGTATTAAAATATGAATTGAAACACATCCAAACGTGTAAAGTGTAGCCTGGAACGACACTTAAATTCACCTCTCATTGATCCTAGGACCGCACTATGACATTTACAACACTAAACTCAACGTTAAAGTGTAGGTAATAGTCTTTACATAACCCTCCAGACCTGATAGACGTCCAATTAAATCTTTACATTACAATCTCAATGTAAAATGAGAATGTAGGCTATATTTCTACTTTGTTTTCCTACGTACAAGTAATAGAAATAACATTTATGTTAGCAAGACAAACTTTGGTGCTGCTTCTATCTAGGGAATTTTATACTTTAATATAGGATTTTAATCTTTCTGTAAGACAGAAAGCATGATAAGTGTAGAGGCAATCATCACATGAATGTGTAGTATACATAGAAAACATATACATATCTGCTACACAATTAATTCTTTAGGTGTTGTATATTATAAGTTCCGAAGCTTTAATATCAGAACGGTGGTTTAACTGGGGGAAATGAAATGTATCAAAATGGTTATTAATCCGTAATGCATTATTGAGTCTGTGAATGAATATGTACTTGAACCAACGGGGTTTTACTTAGCATACTAGTGTATTACAAAGGATTGGAGGTTTACATGAGAGTGGTATGTATGTTACAGTAGCGGTAAATACCACTATATCAATTAATGTTGACTATATAACTGTATACTTTACTCGTGTGCGGGTTGTTCTGGTCAAATAATGCCTAATTGTGTGGACCTTTCTATTGTATTGTCGGCACGGATATTTGATATTTCACCACAATATACTTGACATTTGTTTGTTACTTTGAGTGAAAGTGTTAACCTTTACAGTTAGTACACAGTGCCTATTATTTTCCGTTAATGGATCTTACTAAACTATTATTTTTTTAATGATCAGCCTTTAAAAACAACGATACTACAACCAATACGACTGGTTTGTAATAATTGTGTCATAACAATGTTTTATTTTATGGACAAATTCACATGTATATGGAAGATGAAGACCTTGGAAACGACTGCAAGTAGGCCTACATCGGCCGATCACACTTTTGTTTACCATTGTTTGTAGAAGTAGGATTTTGTCATAATAATACATCATCGTTCCTTTACAGAGCTCAGAAGTTGCCTATGCTATGTGTTCACAACTTTGTTGTGTGATTTAGAACGGTACTGGTCTATGAAATGAGCCAAAGTTTGTTGATATACCGTCTTTTAAAAAATAGGGCGTGCGATGGTCCCCTGTCCCCCGGGTCAAGCAAAGCTCGTATACGAAAGCTGACGGATAGCGATATTGTGTGTCTATCTAACCTTAAGGAGACTGACTATACTGTTCCCCAGGGGATGACCAGGAACGACAACATGGTGAGCTCGGGAAACTTCGCCAAACTTGACAAGGTATGTGACAAATATATATATGTGAATGTTGAAGACAATATTAGATAAGATTAAAACCAATCAGGAAATACCGACACGTAAACAAAATTTGAATTTAAAATTAAAATTGATCAAATAACCATATGAAAAAATATCCGCAACTGAAATGGGTTATCTTAATAGAATAATTTTGGAAGACGATACATATATATACATGTATATCAATACAAGTTTCGACAGGGTTTGAGAGAAAAGTGAACTAAGCCTCTGAAAATCACCATGCTTTTTTAGTTGTTCAAATAGACACAAGTAGCACCTTCCACCACAAATTAAAAAAATACACTATGTCTAGTCCGAGATGCTTAGTGCATAAATAGTTTGAGCATGATAGTCGACTGTGGGAAAATCTTCATTGGAAGTAAATGCCAAAACACAGATGCACTTATAAATTTCATCACATTCAATATTGAATTACGGTCTTGCCTCCAACATTTGTCGCTGGTCGACACGACAAAACATACTTATACTCTTATAATAATTCAGAAGTCCGTAAGGCAAGATTAAATGATAAACTTGAGTTAATAATTGGCATACCCTCTTAGCTGAATGGTTTGACCCAGTAGCAAACACTTGTTTGTTGATGGTTTTGTTTAATGTCTTCACCATAACGCCATTGATAGCAAATAGGTGTGTCGATGATTTTGTTTAATTACGTCACCTCGTTGCCATATATAGCAAACGTGTGTAGATCATTTTGTTTATTGTTTGTAATCTGTTGCCATATATAGCAAATAGGTATGTAGATGATTACGTTAAATGTCTTCAGCCTTCGACATGTATAACAAACAAGTGTGTAGATGATGTTTGTCTCCAGCCTTCGCCATGGTGTGTAGATGAGTCCTATTTATTCTGAAATAAAATGAAAACATTTAATATTTTTTCCTGGACTCACGAAATACTTTCGCTTAGTAGTCTTGCATTTAAGACTTAATTGCTTCCAGTAAAGTTAAAATGTAAGTTTTCTCTATATGGTTAAGTTTGTGAAAACTGTACAGGAAGTCTAGATGTATCACCGTTTTAAACCAAGTATGTGTGTGAAAAATGAGATGTTTGTCTTTTTTCAAATGGATCTTAATTTCAAAGCATTCAACATTTAATACTCTTTTATCGGCAAAAATCATGGTGTGAAGGATATGTTGATGTGATGTAGTTTCATATCAAACGAACATAAGAGTTAGAAGAAACAGGTGTTTATAACACTACCTTACCTCTCATGGGTAGAACAAATACATGTTGTTGTGTAGGCTACTAATGAGGTACGGAGATCAAAATGAATACGAGGCTTTTAAGTGCATATTTGAGTGCAAAGAAAATTGATAAAAATTTAGATGTTTTGTTTAAATTTGTACATTAATAACAATTGCATCCAAGAAAAATGATAATATCATTTCTTAGTTGATCCATAAAATATAATAAATCAAAATTTCATGGTTTTGTAACTCGTCAAGGCACGTAAAATGAAAGTGGTGTGTTTGTTTTAGCGTAATTGATCACGGACTAAGCCGATAAATCTGTTAACCAATCCTTTATACAAATATGTCCCACATAGAAAAGATAATATAGCCCGATAGCAGGCGAAATCCCAGTAATAAAATACATTACGATCAATCAATAGGATTGTTATGTTAAAAGGATTTATATCTCTTCCAGACATTGCTTTTAGCATTGAATTATCGAATGGCTCATAAAGTAAAAAACACATCTCATAAAGGTCTTTTCTGGTATAATTGTTAGAATATTAATATGTACATAATCTCAGTCATTCAAAGCACTTGGAGTAAGATTTTATCAAGTAGCGGGTGATGTTAAAGAAATCTTCATTTCTACTTCTAGCTCTATACACTTACAATAAATCCATGTGTTGAATTACTTTCGCTCATCCACAAACATTTAATATTCTACTCCCGTTTATAAGGTGGGGATAAATCTGCTGAAGGGATATCTTGTGGAATACATACAGTAAGTCTTGATAACATAACATCTATTTAGTGAAGTCTTAATAATTTTTTACTTGATTGTCTCGATAAAATAAACACGCTGAGATACAACCTGGCCGTTTTCCTTATTTTCTCGGAAGTCTAACTGTCTCTCATTTCAATTATTTTAGCGGAGATTTAGCTACGGGTGTTATTGTATAATTTTCTGGTATACGTGACATAATTTCTTCACAACTGAATAACATATTCTATATTTTGCTTGATAATGTGACAGTACATATTTGGGTTGACCAAGGTTTACATGGCAGGTGTTGGCGATGAAGCAGAAGACATCCACTCTTCTGAAACACCTGGTCTTATTCTCCTAGTATGTTTTAAGGTGTTGGTATTTTGTTTTTGCTTGTTACACCGTATGTAATGTTCGAATTGAGATATTTGGTATTGATTAGGATACTTTACAGAATAAAAACATCTTAATCTATATAAAACTACCCACTACCATTCTTCTTAACACTTAAACTATGTTAATCGCTTCATGATATTTATGTATATTAACGGGTAAAGTGTACCAAGTTTCGTCAACTTCATGTTGCTTGATTTATCATATGCAAAATGTGATTAATTAAATATGATATGTTTTGAATATTGATTAAGTGGCAAACAAAATAGTGCCTTCAAAATTGCAAAAAAAATATTTTTCTTTAAAGAAGCTACCGTCGCGTTAACACGCCATTGCTTCCACTTGCTGGATACAAAGTATTATTCTATTGGAATTTGTTAGTGAGTTCAAGGGTCTGAAAATGTTATCCTGTGTTTGTTCTTCACCGATATCAAATATATTGTCTGCTCCTATTATTTTGACTGACTCGATCTAATTTTGTAACACATGTTACCTTTAACAGTGTGATACCACTGACCCTACAGGGACCAATGCCCACTAATTAAATATCACTAATTAACTATTAGACACTATGGTATGCATGTTTCCACCCACCCCACGAATAGATAATACATATATTAATGAGATGCATTACATTGATAATTATCACACTTAGTGTTAATTTCCCGGTTCTGAACTTCGGCCGGAATATTAAGTTAACAAGTAAATGTACATAACAACAATACAAACTATATCAATACGTTACTGACACGCACGTGATGGTTTCGTCAAGTTACATTCACTATTGTTTACATGTATTGTTATCTTCTGGCGTAACAATGTTTTGAAAAAAGGCAGATAGTCAGTCTCAGTGTAACTCATCTTTGAGTAATTTTGTTTTTTGTTATAGTTAGTTAAAAGATTCATGAACATTTTTTACACACCCTAACTAACATAAACAAGGACATTTTTATTCTCGAGTTGCCTCCCTTCTTCGTATTGAACCGTGTGTGTGTGTGTGTGTGTGTGTGTGTGTGTGAGAGAGAGAGAGAGAGAGAGAGAGAGAGAGAGAGAGAGAGAGAGAGAGAGAGAGAGAGAGAGGAAAAATAAATAAGAATATAAAATAATTTTTTAAAAAAGATAATAATGAGAATAATGATAAATAATCAGAAAAAAATAGTGATAACAACAGAACAAAATCAAAGAACAAACAAAATATGCACAATGAGTAACTGCTAAGTAAAAGTTTTAACATTCTCTGGAGCTTTCTTCTTATACCTAGACCTTAATCATATCTCAACATCTAGCAAGTGGGAGCTCTACCTACCAGACAAAGTCCATTTCTGTAAACTAGTTTGCTAAAAGAATGTTACGCTTTTGGTGTTACACAACTATAAAGTACCTTTGGAGAAAAATTAATCAGATATATTTTAAATAAATAAGATCTACATAACATGGGGTTTCTTGCCCTTATAAATGACTTTTGAAACATTACGAGTATGGCTTATTTTAAATCTGTATAAATAAGGCTATCGATTAGGGATTTAAATATTGGCTGATTCTATCGTTGTGGGGTAATTGATTCCTTAAGATCGATATCTAGGATATATACTTAATCTTGCCTTTTATGCATGATAGATGCACGTGCGGTCTAAGGATTTATATTTCGTTGTATCTGTCTTATTAGGTGATGTTGTGGAAACCTTTATTGTAGTCGATGTCGGTATGAAATATTAGTTACAATTACTTAGTAAAAGAGATTCGTATTAACTTCATCAACTTAACCGAGTGAACGACCAGTTTTTTCTTTACACTAATCAAAACTTTTGCTCCAATAGGAAAAAGTAGGAAAAAGAACAGAAAACAGAAAATCAGTAGTCAGGTAAAATGTTTTCCTCTCTACGTTTATTTTTTGCAATTTAGGGAATACTTTATTGCTATTAAGATGACCAAACTTGATTGAGGTGTGTCCAGTGTAATAGAGGTCGCCCTCCGACCACGTATATAAGGCGGGTGCCTGGTGATCAGAACCCCTTCTTTATTTTATACACACCATTGTGGGACGTAAAAGAAGACTGATTGATTAATTAGTAATTATATGAAGTATTTATGATTTACATACTGATTTGCTAAAAATAATAACTATCAAAGGAAGCTAGGATAATACACCAACATATATAAGTGTTAGATGTTGCCGTGCTGCAATAGATTTGTACTGTACTCAAGGATTACTCGCAAACTCTGACTAGACGCCAAGACATGTAAACGTGTAAGTAGTATATCAATATTTCCATGAGCATCGTATGATGGAGGATCAATGTTTTCAGATTAACCGGAAAACATAGTTGCAATATTTGAAAAAGTTTGATTAACCGAAGAAAATAACATTGGTCTTTGAAGTAAAGTTTCAGCCTCATGAAATTTTTCCAGTTTGAGGGATCTGGAATAGTTTTACAATCGTACTGAACAGGTATATTGTTTCTTGTTTCTATTTTATCTTTAAGATAAATCATTATCGCTTCACAGCTGTGAATTTGTTTGTAAAATTTAAAGCTTTGAATTATATTGTGATGTTTTTGGTTAATTTTACGTCCACTTCGCTTATCATCAATACCTGTGATATCTTTTTCGTAACTGGGCGCTGTTTCCCTGTCAATTTATTATACCCATAAATATTTGATGACTAGGGAGGAATTGATGTTGTTCACTACTACGAGTTGTGATATCTTTGTGTATGTAAACATACCTTTAATTGGTTTTTAAAAGCAACTTGTATGCATACATTTAAACCCATTAAATCGATGTTAGCACTTCTAAAATGTATAGTTGATGTCTACCTATATGCACACATTTTAATGCTAATACATGACGAAACATTAAATAAATTTCATTTCAAAAGATGTATGTCGGTTAAAAGTAATAAACGTATACGTTCTCGATGAAAGCTTATACGTTTTTGTGCTCTGTGATGATTTCTAAAAATCTAAAAAAGCAAGTTTGATGTTTTCAAAAGAATATATAAAATCGGTTTGGAATTTCATGAAATATACTCTTATCGAGATGTAATATGTTCGGTGGTTTTAGATGTTATTGATTTCTTCATATTGTGATACATAAATAGGAAAGACATGTTTATTTTTCTTAACTCTAACGAAAACACGCCCTTATATCTAACATTGTGTATAGAAGTCATTTAATCAAACAGGGTACTTAAACTATTCATGTACTCGTCTAGGTTTGTATATAATGATTTATCATATAACAAACATGATTGATGCATGGTTTTATTTTTATCGGATTCATTTCATTACCATGCAAAATGTATAAAGTTCGCCCTCAAAATAGTTTATTGATATAAACAATCAATATGATTAGACAACAAGCTAAAGCCTATATAAGTCTTCTCCCAAGACGTTATGTATAAAGTTTCAACCAGTGAATCTGAACATAGAAAAACATAGGTTTAATTACTACATATGTGTACCGTTTGTCGAATACACACAATAGCTACATGGTATGTATAACAGGTGGTTGAGAATTCAGGTTATTAGCTACCCTGCATTGTAGAGAATTTAGTTGATGTTAATTACATAGGAAGCAGTCCTTCAAGCCTTTGTTAAATCGGCAAATAGAGTAAAATCGAACTTGCAAAATTCATTGCTCAAGATATCTTATTCAATAGAGAACACAGACCATATTGACAGCTTGTTGAAGCTCAAACTAAAGGGTTATTAGATTTAGCACAGAGCAAGTTATTAAAGGACTCGGCCTTATCGATATTTGTGAAATTAAACATTCATAAGTTTCGGTAAACACATCGCAATCTCTCAAATTGGACATGATCATATCATAGACATATATAAAAGACTTTTTTCTCTCCAGACCTTGGATTACTTTTTGTCGCTGCAGAAATTGTATTCTTTGAATGTTTTTTTCGGAGTTGTTCAACAAGGAGGCGCCCATTAATCAAATTGATTATCACATTTAATATCGAACTGTCTTTATTCACCTATGTGTGAAGATCTCGGGAATACGTCGTTAATAGTAAAAGCTGTTTGAGTAAAAGTTTGGATCGATTTAATATATATTTAAATGTCATCTATCACGTTTTACATAAAACCAGTATTACCGGATGTATAAGGGTATGCTCGATCGATGAATTGCTAACTTTGGCGTGTATTTATTTCTATATATTGTAGATAGTGATTAGTTTATCTCATGTATGCATTCCATGTATATGGTAGAAGGGGAAGCTTTGGAACCACTATAGATGTGTACATGTGACAAAATATGACTAGTTAGGTAGACTGTAAGAGGATATTTCAATGTGACGTGTTCGAAACGTGTGGAAACTGGTTTAATTTTTTTGTAATCATCGGTCAATGTGTTTATTTTCAAAAATAACACACATTTCTAATAATGCAAGATTATACGTATGATGGTATTCACCAACATATCGAAATCTGGATCTTTAACAAACGAGGCAACAAAGTGTGAGTATTTCCATGGGGTTTAACGACTAACACATGTAAACTGAATGGAAGACAGAAGCTTGGAAACCACTTGTAATGGACGGATATTACCAAAGCAGCAATAGAACAAAAACATTGAAATAGTCATGGTCAAAACATTCTCGTCCTGCAGTGAAAGGAGCTATGTGGTTTGTAGTTAGAGTTGGAAGTCAGATACCTTCACACTGAAAGGCACAAACACGTGTACCATAACTATACATATCAAGTGAGAAAGCTGGAAATCGGATTATAACTGGAAGTAACTACAAGTGAACGTACTGTGAGACAAACAAATATTACCTGTTACATTTATACATACAACCACAACAAGATGATGCACGACTGCCCTAGTAGTATGACGCCGGTGGAATATATTCGTTTTGTATGTTTTTCAATTATATGATATTTTTGGACTCAAATTATATATTTTTGGTTATAAATTGAGGTCACGTGTTGGTACAAATTATTTATAGAGTCTGTTTTTTTAGTTAAAATTGTCTTTGACCCTTTTCTGTTTTAGACAACACTACAAGTCCTTGGCTGGTCTTCTGGGGCGCTTGACGCCAATGCGAATGAAGATATGACTGGCGAAGAGGAAAATGAGAAAAACAATAAAGAAAGTGAGTATTGAAGTTTATATCATCAAAAACATATATAAATCTAGGTCAATCCAAGTAAAGCCATATTCTGAAATAATAATTTGGTTCATAACAACGAGAGCAGCGGATGTGATAGCGATCATCTATAACTCGCACAAGGAAATAGATCATAATGGTGATACTTGGAGTTAAACGTACATAATTAATGTGTTCTGTTCTTGGTAAAATGAATCCTGATGCCATGATACGTCAAAGTGCCATGTTTGGGAGTATTAGATACAACGTGTACACTGTATCTTACTGATCTGTTTGCTAAAATTATAGATATATTTACTTGCCAGGCTTTATCATTGAGAAAGTGAAGTGTTATGTCCGTTTGTGGACAAACTGCTCTTAAGCTTATCTTTTTCCGGGATCATGCCCTTCACTATGATAGGCTAACTGTCTGCTAAATCTATACAGGACTGTTTGACATAACATCATATACACACAACATAGAAGGCTAAGTCTAGATCAAAACCGACCAGGGTCACCAAAAATCTGTCGATTAAATGTTCTGGTCACGTTTGCTGGGTCTTCTGTCAGATCTCGACCCAATACATGAAACATGAAAACTGTAAACTTTTACCTTAATTCAATATTATGTTTAAGTGATACATAAATGAAGGACTACAAAGACAACGATTTTAGAAAATAATAATAAATAGTAAATAAAGACTGGTTAACACATCACAACGCACGATATTCTGTAAATAAAGAACAGTTATCATTATCACATCAGAACGCACGATATTCAACCAGTAACATTTAGACTAGTTATCACATCAGAACGCACGATCTTCAACCAGTAACATTTACACCAGTTATCACATCAGAGCGCACGATATGTAACCAGTAACATTTACACCAGTTATCACATCAGAGCGCACGATATTCAGCCAATAACATTTAGACTAGTTTTCACATCAGAACGCACGATATTTAACCAGTAACATTTACACCAGTTATCACATCAGAGCGCACGATATTTAACCAGTAACATTTACACCAGTTATCACATCAGAGCGCACGATATTTAACCAGTAACATTTACACCAGTTATCACATCAGAGCGCACGATATTTAACCAGTAACATTTAGACTAGTTCTCACATCAGAACGCATTATATTTAGCCAATAACATTCCGAGACAAAGGCCTTGTCTTATAAAACCATTAATTCTCATAGCGTTTTGGTATAATTTCGATACATTCACCATTCTTTTAGCTTCAAGTCACAACCATTTTATTTTAGAAAAACACATTTTATTATGATTATAAAGTTATATAGTAAGAGAATAAACACCAGATAGAATTTTCAGCCCTGCTTTGAAATGTGAAAGAAAGAAATATGATACATTGATTGGATAGGAAGAATGTTTAAGAACGAAGAGAAATGCATGTAATGCCTAAATACCGTTGCATACCACAGTATTATAGATCTTGAATATGATAAACATTTGATTGATCCTTTAGTCTAATTGCTCGCGTGGAAATATGTATAAAAGGATACAATACTAGGTATAACAATAATCATTATATATACGCTGACTTATTATGAAGTTGGCAGTTAATTTTCTATGAGAGTAAAGGCGTTAACGCTGAGTTATTGTTCCTTTATATGGCTTTGATCTTTACTCTGTACAAAATTTACTTAGTGTAAAAGGTATTTGTTTTTTCTAAAGTGAAACAATTTTCCCGTTGCCGTCAAGTCGCTAGTGTATAAAGCCTTGTGTTAAATGTCTCTAGTATCCAAAACATTTGATTGTACATAGCGTTAGGGTTAAGTAACGATTCGTCAATAGTGACAAGCTAGATCCTTCAATACGGGTATTGATTACTCACATTACGTCCACACAATAGTTCACACTCACTTGGATGTCACGAATTTAGAGTAAACGCCGATCAATGTTTCATGTATTATTGAAAATTGATGGGATATATGTTTGTGCATTTGACATTCTCCTGCTTCTGTATCTTTTTTAATTGATTTTTCGGTTTGACTGTTGATGTATATATCTTATTGGAAACACATGAATCCAGTAATGACTTGTTATATAAATACACAACTTTGCAGGCGTTAGTGCGTGAGATAGATGTAGGTGTGTTAGAATAACACACTGATGCTTTAAATGTCTCGTTATCAAATATGTATTCCATTAAGTGGATTTTATTTTAAAACTCATATAAATTCACGTGAAAAAGAGTACTTTTGATTGGGTTTCCGTTAATTTACAATCACACGCACATTCGATGACTTAACATATTGAAATGAATAATGATGCACTGTTCTTCAAGAAATAACATATTCAATGTAACAGAATCATTACATTGATTAATGAAAGGAATGTATAGGTTATTGAAATTGATCACATAGGTATTATTGTCGTTAGTCAACGGTTAACAGAGGGGGCAGAAATGTTTCTAGACATCTTTTTTTACCGTCATATAAATGGACAGACAGACGGACGGGCGGGCCGACGGACGGACAGACGTATCAAGCACACATACATTACGCACGTATGCTACTGTTCGGCGTGTGGGGTTTCGTAAGGAGGTATTGTCTCGTGTGTCAGGGTGTGATACGTATCACTATTACATGGTATGATGGTGACTCTGTATGCTCATACCATCGATGATACAATCACGTCATCCGGCTCTGACAGACTAGCACACGATCTAACTTAGGGCCTTGTCTGGAATATCTTCTTTTGACAATTGTAGTATCTCTAGTCTACCAGTAATGACAATTGCTGTTTGATTTCATATGCATATTGTTCCTTCAACCATGGTATCGTAATAACAATGATGTTAAATCTGATACCATAGTTTCCGTCCCATATATTTTATACCTAAAAGGGCACCTGTCAATATGTCACCTCAACCGAATCATGCATGTAAATTCTAGATTGCGTCTTAGTAGGTAAAATGTAATATATGTAAAATGTTTCTAATGTTTAAACTCTTCTTTACAGAGGAGAACCTGTGTACACTGACTAAGGTAGGTTTCATTTTACTCTCTAAAGGATTCATTTATATTTCCATGTAAATCCGATTATAAATTTGTCAGATAATGTGTATATACAATATTACATTTAATGCCCAGATTGACTTCCTTTGAACGTTATTTATATTACAATTTGAATATGTAAAATTCAATTGGCAAAGTTAATAAGCACGGCATGTAGAGCTTTATACACAAGTATGCCGAAGGAGGTCTTTGTGTGGCGTTTACGACCTTACAATACGAGCTCAGCTCTCCAATCTCCATGTTGGCTCGGTTAGATCGAGTCCAATTAACTATTATAAAATAAAGTATAATTAGATGGTGCCGGATATTACATAGATATAGGCCAAGTATTGAAATATATCAGGTATATCTCATCACGTAGCATGCTGACGGTAAACATCGTACCTTAAGGCTGGAGAAGCACTTTTTGTTTTACCTGGAGACGCTAGCGGGGCAGGGCGTCACGCTCATTTGTATTCAACAATACTCATAGGCCAGTTAACTTTTAAGTGGAAAGTTGGAGTGTGTGTAAACGTCTTGATCTGTACTGTCAATAGTTGTGTATGTATGTACACATTCCACTGCTAGGCCTGGTACGAGAAGACCCAAACTTCTGACAAATTATATGATCTGGTGATCTCTTGCATTTTATAGCATCCGAGACACTTCTAAAGAAGTGTATTTACAGGAGTGAAGAAAGTACTTACGAGGGAGTAGGAGGTGGGGCAGGGAGGGGTCTAATTGACATATTCATTCACATGGATATTCTTAAATACCGTTATTAGAAACGAAGACATAATGACAGCTTTGTGGTATAATCTTGATTTCCGACAGTTGGAGTTTCGGAGGCTGAGTGACCAGGTCCGAGACGTCAACATGAACCTTAAGAACAAGTTCCGAACATCCGCTTATCAGGTAAGACTTTAATCTCGTTAAATGTCACATGGGATTGGGAGCCGTGATATAGAGGCTTTACAAAAGTGGAGTCAGATTATCAGGGTCCTAGTTTCTATATAACGCCTGTGTGAATATCAGACGGGTAGCTATAAAATATGAACAAATTAGAACTGATCAACATACACACAGACACGTGTAGACTGACTCCGCTGATAATCAAGTTGTCAGGTTGTTGCTATGTAAACAACATGGCGTCCACCATAGTATATCTTAGGTGACTTAAGGTTATGTCGATCCTTACCTCTACACATTTAAATGTCCTGGGTATGTGACCTTCTCTCTAGGACAATGGTACTAACAATACAACACAGTTCATACTATCACTTATTACATTTATCATCTATATATAAACACATTCATTTCATTTACCTATACTGTCATAAGTCTTATAGACCACACTATTTACAGACAGGCATGCACTTTTAATGTGTTTATTTACACAATGAAAAAAGGCATACCTTTATTAAACAAATTCTAGAATCTGTTATAATTTGGTATCAAGAGGTTTTCTTTTGATTCCCCTTTGCTACCTTATAGACATGTATATACAATATGCTAACGTCAGAGATATAGAAGATATATTCAGAATGGTAGGTCAGGTTAGGACAGCCATGCTATAGGTGTATTGATATTTTGGTAGATTACAGTAGGGTTTTGTACGTTACTGAGACACATATTGATCACGCAGAGAGATCCAGGCTTTCAAGTGCCTTTCCTTACGTAATATCGGATACTTAGGTGCAAAATACTACCTATACTTATTGACTATTATAGAAAACCAGCTTTAGTATGGAGTGTCTTCCTTTAAGTATTACTTTATATAAGCACATTTTCCTAGTTCAGATGTCCCGACACATGCATGAACGATCGTATTGTGATCATACATGTGTGCTTGTGCTTGAATAGTTTGAGAATCAAAACCATAACAGACAATTTGCCAAACGTTTGTATTGATATGATAGAATATACATATATCATGCTATTAATTGGTTCAAAGGTTTCAAGCTCAGATAAAAGTATGGTCTGTATCGGCCGGTTTATGTTTGATTAGGTACTGACACGCCATTTCATGTAATCTTTATTTTGTTTTCAATTTCTTATGTATTCATGTGAATACATTGACATTAACTATATTGTGAAATTATATGCTGTTTATAAAACGATAGCCTGCTGATGGTTCATGTTTTTATCAGAGCTCATGTTGGTAGAACATCAAACTGTATTCAGATGGCATTCATGGGTATATGGATACCAACAATAGAAATATGAAAGAAACGATAGCTAGTATGAAAATAAGCCAGTGTAGTGTACAACCTGTGTGTACAAAGGCGGCTTTATATATCTCTTTCTTCCTACCCATTATCTGTACCACCTGTAGTCACTGTAAGGAGAGGGCCAAGATAAGCAATGCCTGATGTCAAATACTATTGACATTTGTTTTTGTCAACAAATCAGTCGAAACTTGGACAAACTGATGGTTCGTGGGTGTCTGTAATTGTGCTACTGACAAAATGTTGGCTAGAGCACGCTGAATGTTAAGTGACAATTCGTACTTATCACTTGTCTTAGTATTCCTTACGGATATCGTATGTGGTATTTCCACCATTAAAAAAAACATGATCACACAAATGTAACGTTTCGTTGGTACTTGTAGAATTCAATCAGTGTACTCACTCAAGACGAGGAAATATCTTAATATCTAAATACAATAATTTTTATAGAAGAGGAGATCGTTATGGTCCAGTTGTTCACAGTTCGATTACTCGATTACTTGCCAATAAACATATGTTCAAGTTATTTAAGAACAAATACCCTTCGTGTACACGTGCGATCGTATTTCATATTTATTCAGCACTGCTACTGATATTGTGTACATTATTCTTACCAATCTTGAATTTAAAAAATCAGCCTGTATATCATATATTTAATAGTATATATAAAAATATGAATACATATTGATAAACTAACAAGGATTTTTGTTACATTTTACCAATCAAAATTAATTGCTATTGACGTTTTCTATAAATTGTACAATTGTTTTTTCATTGTTTTCCTTTAGAACGTGTCAATGATTGTAAGAATAAAGCCTATCCATTTCTACAATTATTAATACATTTTCCTATTGTGTGTATTAATAAGAGGTTTACAGCAGTGTGTGTTTTTTCACTTCTATAAATTCAATCCCTACCGCAATATTGGGTAAACAATAATCTCGTCAACGAGCTCTGTCAATAAAAACATAGTTTTAATGTTACACCCCATGATATTTAAATTGATGTCCTTTATTTTTTTTGGAAAAAAATAATGTATAAAGCCCAGTCTTGTGAAATGCGACAAAGGTGTGATTTGTAACGTTGTGACGCTCCTAACCATTATCAACGTCTATGATTACAAGATGCATTCGCTAATTCCTTGTTATGTTCTTATATCAAACGATAGATGGTTATCATAGCACTCTGTTGGTTCAGGGGTTTATAGTGACACTGATCTTTAATGGTAGAAATCTGTATTCCAGACCGTGGGAAACACTTGGGCTAATGCAATGCTTTTGTCTTTGGAAAAGTCTACATTTAACAATGTGTTGTATACTGTAAACAGAATTAATCGGTTGTACTATGTAACGTTGATATCTTATCAATTGATTAGATAGACATTGCACAAAGACGACCTTAATTAAATGTACATTTGAAGCCTCTTTAAATGAATGATAACACGAACCTGTTAAAGTTGGTGGTCTATAGTTGTTTACTGTAACATCGAGAATAAACAAAACAACAACCAGCTCTCAGTACAACTGAGTAGGAGGACAGGTGTTTTACTATCGTTCTATGACCTGAATGTTTAATAGACACATCAATTATTTACAGGCATTGTGTCTATGTGTCATACTTGTGAATGCGTGACCAGTAAAGAAAAACGATATATGAGCATTTTATTACTTTATTTGTGGAATAATCAACGATTAAATATGGGATTTTTGTCCAAGTTATATAACCAACACAATGAGAGTCTTAAATGAATGAAATGATAAACATGAGATATGATTCTTCTTAAAATTAACCAGTTTGCGACTACAAGTTACCGAGAAATGAAAATGAAATAATTCTGTTGGAACATATAGATTGGAATCACTTAGACTTAATAGAGGAGAGGGATAGCTGTTGATTGAGGAAATACAAGTATTGAAGCAACAAGCGGTACTTTATTATATCTACATTTTTGGGGTGGTTTTGTTCGAATCTAAGTAATAACTTATAGGATGAAAACAACATAGAGAATACCAACGCGTTAACAAAATCTTAATCAAAACACTAATTCGATTAAACTAGACAAAATATTAACAAAAGCTACACGAATGTTCTTGAAAAGGTATAAACTATTTTATTGAAGCGTGATGTTTTTAACAATAATGGTCTGTATAAACGTTGCCAATATCTAGTTGCCTATTTACAGAGAGGTTTTTTAGTGATAGGTGAGTGTTTATGAACACAAAAACTTCGTAAAATATTGAATTTCCTTATGATATGGTTACAATATTTTTATACAACCCAAATGTTCTGATTGTTTTAATGTATACCACTAATAGGATCTTTTGCAGAAATCAAACACAAATAATACCACTTTGCTAATGAGATACCTTTGTCCTAGAAGGAGGAAACAGCTGCATGGTGCAGTTTGTTTCGTTTCTACCTTGTTATATCTATACTGATTATCCCGGAATATAGCTTATCAACCTTATTAATTAATAAGACACCACAATTATTTATATAACTACAGCTATCTTAATGTAGAATATATCTATCATGACAATAACAAATCCAAACTTCATGATAAATCAGATGACGTTAATTTCATAGAGTAAATATATTTCCCCTCTTACATAGTAGCATGAAGACCTCGATTGTTCAAAGACTGGTTAGAGATAACCGACAATTAGTGAAAAAATTCAAAAATGAATTAAGAACATTCTTTTATCATTTCGCAGCTGTAGATTTGTTGAGATTGATATATTGTGAGCATTGATTTGGCATGGACCTCCCATGTGTTTTCTGTGGCAAGATCGCAGTTTTTCACTAACCGCTGGTAAACTCTTACTCAGGTCTTTATAATGTTCATTAGCCTCAGAAACAATTTTGGAATTTCGTCAATTGATAAGATTGAACAATAGACATGCAAGTGAAAAATGCCTTTCAATACAAATTAAAAACAATATATAACATTTTTTTTATATCATAATAAGTATTGTAAAAAAGTATTTACATGAACTTACTTTTCTAGAAACATCATCTCTAAGACAAGATACATTGGATGATGTGATGATCTTGTATACATTTCTTTCATTTTTCGTCATGTGTTAAACACGCGCACTCATGTTTAATAGTTTTCATATTCCATATCTATATATACTTCTACGTTAAAATAAACCAGTAAACTAGGAGTAAACACACTTAAGCAAGGTAATGAATAGATTTTACAGAAGCAATTTTATGTAGACATTAACCGTATTATGTTGTCACAAAATGCCATTTATTTATATGTCAATTTAGAAACCATGCTTCGGAATGCTTTATATTATAATTAGGTATATAATTATGACGACTACTGAAGGCGTGTGATATGTTTGTTTAACCAGACTAACTAAAACATGATTAGCACTATCACTTGTAACAGGAAAGTTGAAATGAAAGTTTGATATCTGCCGTCATTATATGTGTTCAGTTGTAGTGTTTCAGTGTCAACATTCCCAATACATTCCTTAATGTGTTTGTATAGCACTAGTCCACTATTCGGAATTATTATTCAAATAGGATCAAGATTACCTGGGGGTACTTAAAGCCTAATGCCTTTTGTTGAAATCTCAGATTTTGTTCCTGCGAGCTTTAATTATAATCACTGATTAAACATTGATTTTCATTCATCACGTGACCAGACAAGTAGAGTGTTCGGATATTTAGCTG